GGCCGCCGCCGCCTCCCCGGGGTCCAGCCGATCCAGGCTCCAGCCCAGGGACGACGTGACCTCCTGCAGCGTCCGGCAGCAGCTCTCCACGAACTCGCTCAGCTCCTCCTGCAGCCGCCGCCGATCCTCCAGCGGGGGCGGCTGGCCCTCCATGGCCGCACCCAGCCCGCCAAGGGGAAGCGGCCGAACTGCCAGTGGCGCGCGCGGCCTTCTGGGGGTTGTGGGCAGGGTCCCCGCGCCACGTGACTAGAACCGCCTACCGGGACGGGCCCTAGAAGGGCGGGAGCTGTCATTCTGAGGTGTTTTACCTCTCTTTCCAATATTGCTGCTTTAGTCACTGCTCCTGGACGCATTTGCTCCTGGCCTGCCCTGAACGCCATTACCACCTCCATCTACTTTTTTAAATAAAGCGTTTTTATCTAAAGAACAGTTTGAAGAATAATGCAGTGCGCATTCGCACAGCTGTCCTCCCGCTCCTTAACTGTAACATGTGGCCAGGTTTGCTTTCTCCCACTCTGTCTACACAGCTCCAGGCACTATTTTTGCTGAATTATTTGAAAGTCAGTTGCATTTACTTCACTCCCAAAAGTTTGTATGAATCTCTTAAGAATGAGGATATTTTGCTTCCATAACCACAGTAAATGATCAACTCTAAGAAAAAGAATCATTCCAAAATGTCTAATATACAGTTCATATTCAAATTTCCCCAGCTGTCCCCCAAATTCCTTTTATAGCCGTTTCACTTCTTCCAACTCATGACAATCGGTTATTGTCTCTTTTACTTTACAAAAGTCGGTCTCCCCTACTCTTTTTATTTTTATTTTAATGTACTTTATTGATTTTTACAGAGAGGAAGGGAGAGGGATAGAGAGTTAGAAACATTGATCAGCTGCTCCTGCACACTCCTTACTGGGTATGTGCCCCCAACCAAGGTACATGCCCTTGACCGGCATCCAACCTGGGACCCTTCAGTCCACAGGCCAACGCTCTATCCACTGAGCCAAATCAGTTAGGGCTACTCTCCTTTTTAAACTGAGCCAGTGAATTTTGTCAGGAGCCTCAGCCACTTGTCCTGTAGAATGTCCCTCTTTCTGGATTTGTCAGATTTTTTTTCCTTTATGAGTAGGTTCAGTTTACGCATTTTTGCAAGATGTGTGTACCTCTTTATTACATCTCATAAAGGACACATATTTTAGATTCTCTATTAGTAATGCAAAATTTGATCACTTAGTAAAGATGATGGCTGTATCTCTCCATTTTAATAGTACATTTCTTCTTGGTAATTGGTAATCTGTGGGATACCTTATGCCATATGAATGTCCTGTTCTCCAACAAACTCACACAATCCTTCACTGAATCTCATTATGTTAGGAATTATGATGATTTTTTTAAGATTTTTTAATTGATTTCTAGAGAGAAAGAGAAAGAGAAGAGAGAAACATCCATTTGAGACATCGATTGGCTGCCTACCACACACATGCCACCTGGGATCAAGCCCAAAACCTGGGCAAGTGCCCCACCTGGAAACAATGGGCAACCTTTCTGTAGTGCACAGAATTATGCCCAACAAACGAGGCCACACCAGCCAGGGCTTATGATGGTTTTTTACTGCTATTATGGCTTCTACATGTATTAGCTAGCATTCTAACCACACCTTCACTTTGTGTCACTGTGGAACCAAGGTGTTTTTTTTTTAATTATTGAGTTATTAATGATAAATTATTTTTAAAGTCATTATTACTATTCCATTACCATCATAATTCTTGTTGACGCTCAAATTGTCTCAAATTTGACCTGTGGGAGCTACTTTATACCAGTCCGTGTCTGTTTGACATGTTCCTAAGAGTCCTTGAGAACTTCCTTACATTGACTAATTCAAGTTTACTTTTTACATTTCCTACCCAAGACCTGGAATCAGTTTCCGTAGATGGTTTTAACTCCTAGAATATGCTCCTACTTATATTATTTATTTTATTCAAGCCTGATGCCAAATTTTTGGTTCCCTTGGCACTTGTATGCACCAGATGAGGAAAAAAACATGAAAATTTTTGTGAACAGATGTTTCCAAAGACAAATAGCACAATTTTCTTACCTACAGACAAATGGTGATGAGTATAAAAAGGCAGTACCAGAAAACACAGAAACAATCCAATAGCTGCAAGCAGATGTGGGGTAAGGAATGAGTTCTAGAAGTAGCTTATTCATTCTGCCCACAGCATCTTTACTTTTTATTCACATTTAGAGTTACCCTAGCAGCCTAGAACATGTTACACTATTTGAATGTGAGATGATTTTTACTAAAAAATTATACATTTCCCTTTTCAGTGGGTGCACCGTGTATCTAAACCAAATCAAAACTTAGTGCAGGTCAAGAATATCCTCTCTCCCAGGACACAGGTCCTATTTCATTTTAGAGCAGCTCGAAGGGGCTACACTGTTTCGGAATTGCTTTACATTGATGCTTCTTAGTCTATTTAATCATCATTTTCCTAGAGCAGTCTCCTGCCCTATTCTAGTTTAGGCCTTTGTAATGGGCTGAATTGTGTCATTCCCCGCCCCCCCCCCCCAAAATGCTGTCTAATACCTAACCCAATATGACTATATTTGGAGATAGGGCCTTTAAAAGAGGTAATTAGGTTAAGTGGGGGGGGGGGGAGAGGAGAGGGGGGAGGTTAAATGAGATTATTGAGTGGGGCCCTAATGTGATAGGACTAGTATTCTTAAAAGATTAGGAAGAGACACCGAAGCTCCCTCCATACTCATCACTGCCTACAAGCCTGAAAGTTGTCACCAGAAACCAATCCTGGACTGCAACTTAATCTTGGAATTTTACCTTCCAGAACTATGAGAAAATAAATTTAAGCCACCCCATCTGAGGTATCTAATTACAACAGCCCAAGATAACACAGCCTTGCAGCTCTAGCATAAGGAAACTCTACTTCCCCCAACATAGCATTTATCATATATTTTTTCTTCCTTTCATATTACAAGGACTATTTTTTTTACCATGTATTCCTACCATGGGATCTACAGTTTCTGGCACAATGTGTGGCACACAGAAAAACTCAATATTTGGTGAATGAAACTAATTACAAACCTTTCCAGATTAGGAAGGGGACAAGGGCAAGAAAAGAGGTAAGACATGAATGCTGTTTTCACCCTAAGTACCAAAAGCTCCAATAATTTAAGTATTATCTTAAGTATGATCAATTAGCATTTAACTTGCTTTCCTATTTCCCCTCTGCACTATAAAATGTTTGATTGTATTAATACTAGTGACATATGCAAGTTGTCCCACTGACTGCGTTGTGTGCCTTCTGTCCCCATCCAGGCTGCAAAGACCTGAAATCAGGCGTCTTCTAAATTCTATTGAACCTCATAGTACATAGATTACTAGACACTAAATAGATATTCACTAAAGTCATGTTAATTTAATGACAAATGTCTGAATTTCAAGTTTCTCTTTGATCTAAAGAAGAGACTTCTCATTGTCCTTCAACAGAAAGTCAAGAACTCTTCAGAAACTATTTTCATAGATTCAAGGACAATCCTTTTATGGGACAAAATGAAATATCCAAATGAGAATCTTAGCCACCTCATGTTTTTTAAATGTTATGATGATAACTTGCCCATGCTACTTGGTATTCATTGTCCAGCATAAAATAGAACAGGGTATTGACCTCTGGCCTGGCTTCTACAAAGGCTTATTGCCAAGGATTCTACCTGGTACACAGCAGGCACTTGAGAAATGCTGGGGGAAAAAACTAACTACAAAGATGAAATTCTAACACGAATTCAGAATGAAAATAGTTTATAAGTAGTCTTTCTTAATAGGTGTTTTGAAAACAGATGGTTTTAGATATATTTTATAATAATCAAAAAGCTGTTGCTAAATGCCCTTGTGTGTATAAACATGCTATTAAATCAAAACACAAAAATTCAAAAGTCTAAAAGTTTATTGCTAGAACAGCAAACTTCATAGACATCTTTTTTAAAGTACATTGAAAATGACAAGCAAAATAAACAGAAAACTTTGACCAAAGAAAAGCAAAGATTGCTGCTATTATGAACATACAGTCAAATTAATACCAAACCAAACAGATACATAGGAGTATATGGGTCAGACAATCCACATTCTAAAACTAAAAGGAGACTCATTCCAAAATGCTTAGTTTGGGGTGGGTTTTCTTGGGGACGGGTACTATGTACTAATACAGAAAATGGAAATATTTAGATGAGAAACAAAATGATGACTAAAATATTAGTAATCAATTTAATTTTCATCTCCAAGAACAGAAATCTGTATTATAGGCCAAAAAATATTCAAGAAGAATGGATCAAAAATCTAAAAACAGAAGAAAAACAAATTCTAAATTCAATTTGTGCTATCCTTACAACTGATTACCACTTCATATACACTACATTCAGTGTATTACAATAGCTAAGGTGAGCTAAGAAGATAAAAAGCCAGAACCGCCTTTACTACTTGATTTAACCCTGGCAAAGTTTTCTTAAGCACAGAAAATTCTATCACTATATTGCAAGCATTAGATTTTCTTTATTATTTAATAAAGTGAAAAAATGCATATAAATGAAGTCAAGGTATAGCAATCATTTCTAACTGACTATTAGTGCCCAATAGAGCTGCTGCTAAAGGAGTAGGAGGAGTAAGTGTAGGAAGAATTCCCTGTTGCATCAAAGCTTCCTCTCCTGGACCCACTGCGGGAACCAGAGCGGGAGCCCGAGCGAGATCCAGAGCGGGAGCCGGAGCGGGAGCCTGGAGCAGAAGACATGTTATAAGGGCTAGGCAAGCCCTTGGATGAAACAGAGGCGGCCTCCAGAAGGCGCAGGCCAGTGACATCTTCCACCATGGAGCGATTCATGGCATCCTTATAGGATATTTTCAATTTGGTTTTGGGGCAGGTCAGGATTTTGGCATAGCTGCTGATATCCTGCAGCCTCTGAGCTGCTCGGCCGTCGATAAACCCCTTTCTGATGGCTTCCTCAACGCTTATCCTCCCATGCACTTCGGGGTCAACTAGGCCTCCTGTGAGGTACTGGAACTCCATGAAGCGCTGGCCAGCCTCATATGGAAGCCATTTTTCTTTCACTGCCTCTGCTGCCGACATCTTCTTTCCCTTCACACCTTCAAAGCCAATGAAGGCTTTCTGAGCAGGCTTCAGCCTGGTAGCCATCTCTTGATCAACCAGGCCCTGGGAGATGGCATC